TTACTTCGAGGGAAATGGATTACCCAAGGAACTGCTGACACGTGCCCAGCTAAATGTCAGAAACTGATGACCAGGGACTCTTTAGGAACGGGAGCTACCTTACCTCTGCCTCATAACTGTACGCTTGTTTGTGGAAGGCACATAACTTCCCACTAGTTCAGGGGACTTTAGACTATACTTAAGGAATCTCATTCAAGGTACCACATACACGCCTGAACCTGATTAGATGAGGGAAACCTTGATGGACTAGAATGAAAATATTGGAGTTTGGGGGAGTGTTTTGCATGTGGGGGAATATTGTTTTAAAAGCTTATTTAACACATATTCCAGGTAGATGCACATACTGCTTAAATTCTATTACATAGGTCATACCTGTATCAACACTGAGTAGACAATCAGCAGTATATGATGAGTAAAGCATTTCCACTGGGAAAGAAAAAGGTTGTCATACCAGTTGTTTGTACCATCCATCTGTATTTTCAGTGGAAGAACAAAGGAAATTTTTCTTCCAGAAGCCTTGTGAAACAATGTGACACTCTAACTGCATTAGCTCCCTGAATGTCAGGCATATACATACAGAAAAATACTAACCAAGCAAAAGGGGAGATAAGTCATGAAAAACTCAAGAACAGATTTAACTTTGAAAGTTACTGTAGCAAAACTACACACACTCCTAAAAGCCTGGCAGGTACATTTAAGTAATCTATGTTAAACTTTTTCCAAACTATATTTCCCTCCAAATGGTATCCTTTCTTACAAAAGTAACATCCAGCATAAAAAAATATCCCAGCAATTCACAAAAAGGATTCCTGACTTTACTCAACAGAGCAGCTTCTGGTTTAGTCCTATTAAAATTACAGCCTTCCCCCCCTCCCCCTCCTTTTACCACCTCAACAATCTTTGGTATCATGTTACTGAGTGGGGTTTAAAGGAGTTTGGAAAAATATTATCTCCCTTCTTCCCTGTTAAAAGTTTTGTTTTGTGCAGTCTCTAAACCTATACAGAACTAAACTGCCCCAAACATGGGATATTTCACCTCTGACTTTGCAATCTTTCTCACCAACCTCTTTTCAGATTAGCAGATACAAATCTGATATTCTTTTAGTGTTGAATGTGCCACAATTTATTCAAGCACTTACTAATTAACATTTAGATTTCTAGTTTTCTTTCTCCAACAGATATTTCAATACACATTGTGTACAAAAACTTTCGGCAAGGAAGCTTTTATCTTTATAGGATAACTAGAGGCCAGGTGCACGAAATGAAATTCCGTGCCTGCACCCTCTTCAATCTGAGATCCCTCTCACAATCCAGGTCTACTGGCTCCCAACTGCTTGCCTGCCTGCCTCTCTGATGGCCCCTAACTGCTTCGGCCTGCCAGCCTGATCACCCCCTAACCACTCCCGTCAGCTTGATCAATGCCTAACTGCTCCCTGCCAGCCTGCTCACCTCTATCTGTCCTCCCCTGCAGGCCTGATTGCCCCAAATGCCCTCCCCTGCTGCCCCAATCACCTCTAACTGCCCTCCCCTGCCGACCTGGTTGCCCCAACTACCATCCCCTGCTGGCCCGGTCACCCCTAACTTCCCTCCCTTGCCAGCCTGGTCACTTGTAACTACCCTCCCCTGCTGACTTGATTGCCCCTAACTGCTCTCCCCTAAAGGCCTGGTTCCCCCCCCCCCCCCCCCCACCGACTGCCTTCCCCTGCAGGCCTTGTCCCTCTGAACTGCCCTTCCCTGCAGTCCTGGTTCCCCCCACCCCCAAAACTGCCCTCCCCTGTAGGCCTGATTGCCTCCAACTGCCCTCCCCTGCCAGCCACTCTGTGGTGGTCATCTTGTGTCCACATGGGGGTAGCCATCTTGTGTGTTGGAGTGATAGACAATTGGCATATTGCCTCTTTATTAGATAGGATATTATATAAGATTTCTCAAAAGTAGGAATGCTCAATATGTATAGGTAACTTTGTAGCAGTTTAATTCTGCAAGCAATCTATTAGTATGCCCATCTCCTTATATCTTTACCAATATTGACATCACTATTTTGACTTTAATCTAATCTGATAGAAACATTTTTAACCATACTTCACGCTTGCTTTTTCAATGTCCTAATCTGTAAGTTATTTGCCAATTTCTCCAATAATCTATCATTTTAAAATTCTCTTTATATACAGAGACATTAATATTTTTTCAGTTACTATGCAAATATTTCTTCTAATCACCTGTTCTTTTAACTTTGGCTGTGGCTCTCTGCCATATGAGATTTAATTTTTGTTTAGTAAGATCACACCTCTAAGGTTGTATAAGGATTTTAAGTGGGTATCTTTGTATTGAGTTCTGATTGTTGAGACTAGTGTGAGAAATTTCCATGTTATTTTTAAAAGTGATTATAAAAAAAAAAAAGAAGAAGAAATGAATTTGGGTAAGATAGAGCAAGAAAGGAGGATGGCATTGACTGTCCCATGATTCTACATAAGAAAATACCAACATTTCAGAAAACGAGGCTTGAAATGTTGTGAATTGCCGAAACCGGTTTGGCTCAATGGATAGAGCGTCAGCTTGGGGACTGAAAGGTCCCAGGTTCGATTCCGGTCAAGGGCATGTACCTTGGTTGCGGGCATATCCCCAGTAGGGGGTGTGCAAGAGGCAGCTGATCGATGACTCTCTCTCATCGATGTTTCTAACTCTCTATCTCTCTCCCTTCTCTCTGTACAAAATCAATAAAAATATATTTAAAAAAAAAAAAGAAATGTTGTGAATTATCTCATCATTATAAAGCCATTTTCAGAAAATGCACAATTAAAAAAATGTATTTTGATGTATTCACTTCATTAATGTAAATGAAATTTTACATATATTTACATCATTTTATACTTAGATATGCATTCCTACTATTTTTATTCTCATCTTTTCTGAATAATGCTTACCTATTAAGTTAAAAGGATGTAGAAAAGGAAGAACAGAAATACTGGGGAAAATATTCAATCCTTCCTACATTAACCAAATTCAAATATAGAAATTCTCCATTTTAAAATATGACATACACTTTAAGTCAACTAAAGTCTCATAAATATTACTTACAACAATAGCATGCTAAAAAAGTCACTGCATGATTGTTTATTTAAAATATTAAAACTCTGGATGTAATTACATATAGGCTTACATAATTTATTATTCATATAAACCTTCTATTAAAATGCATAATAGTTCAACCACAATGCCTTTTTTCTAAGCATAATAATAAATTTTCTCTTATTAAAAGTGTTTAAAGCTTTTTGAATCTTGATTTGTGAAGAAATTACTAAAAAATAATTTAAGCTTAACTACATCATACAATGGTATTTTTTGCAATGCTGTCACAGATTCCTCCATGGCAACAATCATGTGTTGTTACTGCACAAATTATGGTACAGGTTATTATGTGCACATAAACTCTACATAATGGCAGTATTTTCACTGCAATTTGCTCAACACATTTAAAATTATGAATACAATTTACAAAATTGTTAACAATATACTTTTAAGATAAAAGTATCCTGAGGATATTACAAAATTCATTTTACCAGCCCTTCATTTCTTTGTTTTATTTCACTCTTTAATTTCCAAGATAATAGCTGTTCATACTTTGTTACATAAAAATGTTCTTATAGTCCCTATTAACAAAATATATTTAAGCTCAATAGCATATAATTGTCCCTCAAACACTTAGTTCCAACTGCCTCTCTCCTTGGTTAAAATCAAGTATTTATCAAGTTTCCTATAATTTTGAATCAGAAAAGGTATGGCAAAACAGAGAGAAATAGGGTTAGCACATCTAAGTTAAAAGCACTGCATTTTTAATATTTTGGTCATATTTTATAATAAAATAATATATTTTGGCAAAAATAATAAAATATAATGTTCAGTTTATTTTCTATTAATGGTAGAGCTGGCAGGTATTTTACACTTGTAAATACTATCTATTTAATTTGACTGTTTTCACATTTGTTTTTAAAAACACTGCTATAAGGTTTTCAGAACTTTTGAGACTAAAAGCACCTAAAAAATAAAATTTAAATAAAATGTTTGATGCTCAAAAAATCCTTTCATAAATTTATAAACTTACTTTTAAGTGTCTTATACATATGAACACATATTATTGCCTGCTAAGACATATTTGACCCAATGTAATCTTTAAAATAATAATTCCTGGAGGTCTTCCTGAAATTTTTGTGAAAACTGATGGGAATTCAAAACATTTTAAAAAAAGAACATGAAAACAAATAACTGCAAAAAAAGTTATTATTCCGGTGGTAGTAGTTACTATGGCGCAAAAATACATGAAAAGACAAATTTTCTCATATATACACAAATTAAGTTCAAATAAGATGTGCAAGATATATTACATATATATATACACACACACACACACACACACACACACACTTGCGCTCCAGTAGGGAAACTTGAAAACTTACATAATGAGCCACTTGGCTCATTTATCACTTAAGTCCCAATAATAATTTTAATGGAGATGTACATTATTTTTTTTTGATTCTTAATCAAATATTAATCTATCATTAGTTAAGAGAAGAAAAGTTTGAGATGTATACGTTTGAAAAAGAACTAAAAGTATGGTGAATTAAGTGATAATGGATGTACAACTGCCTTTATATAAAAGGTATTTTTACTGTGAAAGAACTTCATGCAGAGGTATCTGCAGAAGACTTTATCAACCATAAGAAAACAAAACTCATTTGACACTGTGACATCCTCACTATAACGCACTATAAATATGTAATATTATAGCATTACTTATACATTCTAGTTGGGCAACAGAGTCTAATTCTGAATGACCTTGTTAATTTTTTAAGGCATCAGTGCATCAAGGGCAAAGCTCCATAAAATAAATATGGAAACAAGAAAGCATTAGCTTATTTGTGGCATTGAGAGTAATCAATGTACATTACATGTGTTGGCCACTTCTATGGAATAGGTAATAAATTATAGATCTTATTGTCAAAATGTTACAACATAAATTTCACATCATGTTTCAGTACTTCATTTAATGGGCTAAACTGATCCGGCAGAATCCTCATTTTCATTGTTCCATCAGCTCCACATGAAAAAATGTGATTTGCTGGCCCAGTCTCAATTTGCATCACTCCTGTTCCGATATTTCTGAAAATGGATTGCCGAGCATGTTCACTGATAAAAGTGTGAAGAAGACTAAAGGTAGAGAGATTCCAAATCTGAAAGATATTAAGAACAAAATAAAACTTGGGGTTGATGATTACCTAAAAAGTATAAATATAATATTTAGCCTATCTTCCTGTGCAAATAAAAAATTTCTAACACAAAGATGGAGAAAAGCCTGTGTAGGTCTAAATTCTGAATAGGATGTAACTCACTTTGATATTATTACATTTTTCAAAATCCATCCAGTAAGAGGAAGGCATTTTTAACCTTGCATTGGAGATGAGAAAACTTAGGTACAAGGATGCTAAGTATATAATGCTACAAAAATTTGCAATATTATAGGGACTACCATCAAAATTTCCTATCTCTCAGCAAAGCTTTCTATAGTGAAGTAATCTTGTCTTTATAATGTAAAATACTCCCAGGAGATCAGGACCACTGAAAAGCACTAGACACCTAGAGGCCCTCACATAAGGCAAATCTATGTTCCAACTGCGAGATAAGGTTAATATAACTTCAGAATAATTAATTTACTAAATAGAAACTTTCTATTTTCATCCCTTTCCAAATAAACGTTTCTGTCCCTAAAGTAATTTATAAGCATCTTCACTTATGTGGAACCTAAATGCTTTCAGGACATTGTTTTAAATTTAGGGAAACCAATTTATTTATTTATTTATTTTTAGATCTCATTAACAAAAATCTTACTTTTCTTTAAAAAATTAATTAATTTCTACCATTCTAGACATACTTGTTAAACTGAATATACTACATTGTTTATTTTCAAATCTTTTTTTTACTCGAATAATAAAACTGAGTACAAACAAAAAAACTAATCTAAAATAGTATAAACTGTCTAAGCTGAGGGCATTTTAAATATAATTAATTTTTTCTTGCTAAGAATTTTTAAAATAATATGCCAGTTCTAACAAAGTAGTCCAATTTATTTGCACTAAATAAATTCTCTAGCATTTAAATTAATGGATTCTAAGAAATCAAACTCCCCCAGTAGATTGCTGACCATTAGGATAATTTAGTGACTAGTCTAAAGTAACTTATTTCTGCAGATGTTTCCAAATGTGGCTAGAGGACTCTCCATTAAAATCACTAGGTATGTAGTTATAAAAATTCACATTCCTGAACCTTGGACTTACTAAATATTTTTGGGGTGGGACCTAACAGTAGAATTTTTGGAGTGGGGTACATTTTTAATAAACTGCCTAACATTTTAAAATACTTCTAGGTTTTAAAACAGTGGGGTTTGTTATAGGCAGGACTTATCCAGGTACACTTAGAATTACTGAATCAGGCACCGAGTAGTTGCATGCTAAAGCTATAAATAAATAAACAAACAAACAAACAAACAAACAAACAAATAAAGGCATAAGGAAATGTCAGTATACTTCGCAGTACCTGAAATAGAATTCAGTAATGCTTAACATGCAGTCAAGACTAATTTTAACGTCTGAAATACATTTATACCCATGGAAAAATCTAGTTCTTGTATATGCATTAATTAAGCATATCTGAAAAATAGACAATTTTCAAGTTAATCATTACTTCATTTGTTAAGAGATTTATTAAATAGCAATTAATGTGGTTGGCTACAAAGGCATATGTTGTTAATATATATGCATATTATTTAAAGAGAAGAGATTAACATCATCAATTACGATTAAACCCTAAGGTTTCTGAAGATTTCTTTTTGTAGATATGTGGCATTACTATGTTTACCTTTATGCTGCCTTCAGCAGATCCTGTAACAAAGTACTCTTCAGTTGGATCAATAGCAACAGCTTTAACAGGAGAATCATGGCTCTGGAAAAGCTGCCTTTGTTGTCGTTGCTGAAGGTCAAAGACACATGTAAATCCTTTTCTGCCACATGATATTAGTAGCTGATGTTTTGGAGCATATGCTAAAACAGTGGCTCCACTATCATGGCAAATAAAAGCTGAAAGAAAAAAAAAGTAAAAATCACTTAATAGTATAAGAAACAGACTTATGGCTTTTGGCCAAGGTGAAATGTTGGAACATGTGTTTTTGTGGACATGTGTTTTCATTTCTCTTAGAGATACACACACACACACACACACACACACACACACACACACACACTGCTGGGTCACATTAAGTGTATGTTTAACTTTATTAGAAACTACCAAACAGTTTTCCAAAGTGGTTGTGCCATTTCATACTTCTATCAACAAAATCATGAGTGTCCCAGTATTTCCATATCCTCACTAACACTTGGTATCCTAGAATCTTTAATTTTGGCCATTTCAGTGTATAGAATAGTATCTTATGTGAATTTAATTTGCATTTCCCTGATAACTATTGATGCTGAATACCATTTCGTATGCTTATTTGCTATTCAAATGTTGATAAGTAAATAATTTATAAAATCTTGAATATATTATTTCTTTCATTGGGTTATGCTTTTGGTTTTATATTTAAAAAGTCATCCCCAAACCCAAGAACATCTAAATTATCTCCTACATTTTGTTCTAGGAATTTTTAGTTTGTATTTTATGTATAATCTATGATCCATTTTGAGTTAATTTTCATGAAAAGGGTGAGGTTAATTTTTCTGCATATCAGCATCCAATTATTATAGCACTATTTGTTGGAAAATTACTTGTCTCCATTTAATTATCTATCTTTATTAACGATCAATGCACTATTTACATGTGAGTCTATTACTGGGCTACTTACAAGCATACTTTGCTTTATTGTTTCACTTTCTTGTACTTTACAGACATGTATTACTTGTGGCAACCTTGTATACAGCAAGTCTGTTAGCACCATTTTTCTAACAGCATTTGCATCTCTATCACGTTTTGATAATTCTCTCAATATTTCAAACTTTTTCATTATTATTATGTTTGTTAGGATGATCTGAGGTCAGTAATTTTTGATGTTACTATTCTAATTGTTTTGGGGTGCTAAGAACCATGCCCATATGATGGCAAACTTAATAAATGTTGCGTGTGTTCTGATCGGCTGTTCCCCATCTGTTTCCCTCTCCTAAGGTCTCCCTATTCCCTGAGACACAGCAATATTGAAATAAAATCAATCAATAACTCTACAATGGCCTCTAAGTGTTCAAGTGAAAGGAAGAGTGTCACATCTCTCACTTTAAATCAACAGTTAGAAATGATTAAACTTAGTGAGAAAGGCATGTTGAAAGCCCAGATAGGCAGAAAGCTAGACTCCACTAGTGAGCCCAGATATGAATGCTACTCCAATGAACACATGAATAATAGGAAAGCAAAACAGCTTTACTACTGATATGGAGAAAGTTTCAGTGGTCCAGATAGGTCAAATCAGCCACAATATTTCCTTAGGTCAAAGACTAAGCCAGAGCAAGGCCCTACCTCTCTTCAATTCTACAAAGACAGAGAGGTGAGGAAGCTACAGAACATAAGTTGGAAGTTAGCAGAGTTTGGTTCATGAGGTTTAAAGAAAGAATCTGTCTCCAAAACTTACAACGGACACAGTGAGACAGCAAGTGCTGATGGAGAAGCTACAGCAAACTATCTAGAAGATCCAGCTGAGATAATGGAATGAGTTTCAGTGTAGATGAAACAGCCTTATATTGGAAGAATATACCATCTAGGACTTTCATAGCTAGAAAGAAGTCAAGCTTGGCTTCAAAGTTTTAAAGGATGGGTTGACTTTCTTTATTGGGGGCTAATGCAGCTGGGAACTATTAAGTCGAAGTTAATGCTTACTTACACTCCAAAAATCCCAGGGCCCTTAAGTATCATGCTAAATCAACTCTGCCTGTGCTCTATAAAAAACAAACAAAACCAACCAAACAAACAAACAAAAAAACAAAACAACATGCCCTCGCTGGTCTGGCTCAGTGGATAGAAGTTACCAGGTCTGATTTTAATCACGGGCACGCACCTTGGCTTGATCCCTGGCCCTGGCCGGGGCGCACGCAGGAGGCAACCAACTGATGGGTCTTTCTCACACTGATGTCTCTCTCTCATTCTGTATCTCCCTCTACCTTCTACTCTCTGCAAATCAATGGAGAAATATCCTGAGGGGAAGATTAACAACAGCAAAAAAGAACCAACAAAGCCCACATGACAGCGTATCTGTTTAAAACGTGCTTTTCTGACTATTGCAAGCCCACTGTTGAGACCTACTGCACAGAAAAAAAAAGTATTTTTAAATTATTACTGCTCATTAACAACGCATGCGGTCACCCAAGAGCTCTGATGGAGATGTACAAGATTAATATTTTCATGCTGCTAACAAACATGGATCAGTAGGTAATTTCAATTCTATAGCTCATGGATCAGTAAGTAATTTCAATTTTCAATTCTTATTATTTAAGAAATATATTTTGCCCGGCTAGTGTGGCTCAGCAGTTGAGCATCAACCCAGAAACCAAGAAGTCATAGGTTTGATTCCCAATTAGAGTACATGGCCAGTTTGCAGGGTTGATCCCTATTAGGGGGCATATAGGAGGCAGTAAATTGATGATGTTCCATTCTCTCTATGCCTTTCCTTTCCTCTCAAAAACATATTTCCTAATGTTACAGATGCCATAAGTAGTGATTCCTCTGATGGATCTGGGCAAAGTAAATTGAAAATCTTTTGGAAGGGATTCACCATTCTAGATGCCATTAAGAACATTTGTGATTTATGGGAAGAGGTCAACATATCAACATTAACAGGAGCTTAGAAGATGTTTATTCCAACTCTTCTGGATGACTTTAAGGGGTTCAAGAGTTCAGTGGAGAAAGTAACTGCAGAAGTGACAGAAATAACAAAGGAACCAGAATTAGAAGTGGAGCTTGGAGATGTGACCAAATTGCTAAAACTTGGTAAATGATGAGTTGCTTCTTATGGATGAACAAAGAAAGATGGAATCTACTCCTGGTGAAAATGCTGTGAAGATTGTTGAAATGACAACAAAGGATTCAGAATAAACTTAGTTGACTAAGCAGAAGCAGGTTCAACTGTGGGTAATATGCTATCAAACAATAAAAAAGAAGGAATTCTTATCATTTGCAGCAACCTGGATGGAATTGGAGAACATCATGCTGAGTGAAATAAGCCAGTCAATGAAAGAGAAACACCACATGACCTCACTCATTTATGGTTAATAAAGAACTTTATAAACTGATGAACCAAAAGATAGATATAGAGACTGTAAAGCAATAAGCAGACTGTCAAATTACAGCGGGGAGAGTAGGGAGATCTGGGGGAGATAAGAGATCAACCGAAGGACTTGTAAGCATGCATATAAGTATAACCAATGGACACAAAACTCTGGGGAGGGATGGCATGTATGGGGGGGGGGGGCAATGGTAAGATAGGTACACATAAAATAATTTAATAAAAATAAAAAATAAAATAAAATAAAATGCTAACAAACAGCATCACATGCCAAAGAGCAATTGTTACTAAAAGACTACAGTATATATAGTGTAATCATAACTTTTATAGGCAATGGGAAACAAAAAACTTGTATGACTCGCTTTATTGGCATAGCTCAGAGATACTGCCATTGAGTTCCAGACCACTGCAATAAAAAGAATATAGCAATAAAGTAGTAATTTTTGTGCTAGTGGAAGATCTTCCCTTCAATTTGTAAAAAAATGCAACATCTGTGAAGTGCAAAAAAGGGAAGTGCAATAAAATGATGTATGCCTATATTGCAAAATTCACTTTATTGGGGGGGGGGGGGTGTCCAAAACTGAACCTGTAACATCTCTGAGGTTTGTCTGTATCCTTTTCTATGAAAAATATTTATTCTTAAGCCAATATCACAATATCTTAATTACTGTAGCTTTATAGTAGGATCTAAAATCAGGTAATGTGAGTCCTCCAAGTTTGTTTTTCTTCAGTATTTAGTATTCTAGATCTTTTGCCTCTCTCTACAAACTTTATTTTTTTTTTCTTTAATTTTTTTTTAAAGAAGGGAGAAGGCTCCTTCTTCTTCTTCTTCTTCTTTTTTTAAATATATTTTTATTGATTTTTTTACAGAGAGGAAGGGAGATAGAGAGCTAGAAACATCGATGAGAGAGAAACATCGACCAGCTGCCTTCTTGCACAGCCCCTACCGGGGATGTGCCCGCAACCAATGTACATGCCCTTGACCGGAATTGAACCTGGGATCTTTCAGTCCACAGACCGACGCTCTTTCACTGAGTCAAACCGCCTTCGGCTCTCTACAAACTTTAGAACCAGTTTGTTGATATGTGCAAAATGCTTGCTGGGATTTTGATTAGATAGAATTGAATCTATGACGTTGGAACTGACAACTTAATATTGAGTAGTCCAATCTGTGGATGTGGAATATCTATTTATTTAGATTTTTGATTTCTTTTATCTTTTATGTGTTTTTCTCCAATAAATGCTATACAAATTTTGTTAGATTTATGCCTCAATATTTCATTATTTTGGATTATATTATAAATTGTAGTATTTTTAAAATATCAAATGCCAATTGTTGGAATATAGAAAAGCAACTGACTTAAGTATTGATCAGGTATTCTGTACTCTGCTATATTCACACATTAGTTCCTGGAAGTAATTTTTGTAGATTCTTAGGAATTTTCTACAGAGATAATTGTTCTACCTGTGAATAAAAGCATTTTTGTCTACTCTTCCAATCTGTACACCTTTTATTTGCTTTTGTCTTACTGCATTAGTTAGGACTTCGAGTACAATGTTAGTTAAATAGGAATGGTGAGTGGGAACAAAATGTTATGCAGTAATTGATGTTCACAATGATGACTTCTAACCATCAGATCCAAAGTAAAGACAAATGATTTTTATATTATCTGTTCTACTGTCCCTCATCAAGGTATAGTGAAGATTTAATTATGCATACTACATTATTTCTGCTTTTTAAAAAAAATATATTTTATTGATTTTTCACAGAGAGGAAGAGAGAGGGATAGAGAGTTAGAAACATCGATGAGAGAGAATCATTAATCAGCTGCCTCTTGCACACTCCCTACTGGGGATATGCCCGCAACCAAGGTACATGCCCTAGACCGGAATCGAACCCGGGACCTTTCAGTCCGCAGGCAGATGCTCTATCCATTGAGCCAAACCGGTCACGGCTATTTCTGCTTTTAAACTGTGTCACCAAGGGCAAAATAAACCTCATGGGCTAATAAATATGCTTTTAAAAAAACCGTACTCATTTAAAAATAATTTTTAGTTTATAAATTTCTTGACTTTCAATATTTATAAAATGTTTTCAAAACTTACCATGAACTAAACTATTGGCAGATGCTACAAGAGTATCCCATAAACATATGTTTCTGGAAGAAAAAAAAATTACCCTTGAATGACACAAAGTTAACAGAATAAAAATGTCTCATATAGTAACATAACATTTAAACGTTGCTCTCTCAGAAAGTTCTTAAATTTATAAACATGACAAATATAAGTAACCAATATATTTATGTATGATTAATTTCAAATTTTAAAAACTACTAACTCATAAAATTGAGTAATTTCATATTAACATGTATTTACAAATACTACTATATAAAGCCTATATAGAGAAGTTACTTTTTTTATTCACTGATTCTCTAACAGACTACCATACACAAATAGGATACACTGAATTTTCTAAAGTACAAAGAAAACTTATTTCTACTATGAATGGGAGCAGCCTTTATGCCTTTCCTTGAGTTGCAAAGGAGGCATCAATATATGTAAGAATTTTTATGGAAGACGGGTCCCATTTCCAGGGCAAAATGAGGCCATACCCCTAAATATAAAAGCTCAGCAGCCTCAGTTAGCCTTGATCTCATAATTCAGCTGTATGAAGGAAGTGTGGAGATGGAGGCAGGGTGAGACATATTTAAAGATTTTTGAAGGGATGGAGACAGGCTATATCAGCTAATGTATAATTAACAAGTCTTAAGTTTCTTTTTGTGAAACAGTCAGTGATTTCAACTGGTCAGTTGCAAGAATTTTTAAAACATGAAATAACCAACTATTTATTCAGGGATACTGACCTTTAATGCCTTAGATTGTCAAATAAAAAAAATGACAACAGCCAACATAACACTAACCATCTGGTGTGAATGCCCTGTCTTGAACCATAAGTATATGCTCATATAATAGAGCTGAATCTCAATGGTCATGTTGCATAAAAAGGTTAAATTTGGTCAATTCTTGGTATCAGAAATCCTTACATACAAGTATAAATATCTGCTTTTTTTTTTTTTAAGTCACTTTGGAGCAAATATGGAGATGATAATAATTTTTATGCCAATCAAAATTATTCCTATTTTTTGTCAGCTGGGAAAAAATTAATATATTTTAGGTGTGCTGCCAAATTTTAATACTTAGTTAATGTATGCCATGAAATGAAAAGGTTGAAAATCACTGATCTATCTAATAGAACCACAGTGAGCATTAACTAAATATCATGGCCAATCACTAAATGCGTTTTTGTTTTTTTTTTGTCTCAAGCTTTCTTAACACAGGGAATTATATGAAAAAAAAATTAATTTCACCAACAACCAAACCTTGTTGCACTCAAATCTTAATATTAAAATATTAACAATACAAAAGAAATAGATTTTTTTCAAAAAATTTTTGAATTTTATTATATTGAAGCAACACTGTTTATAAAAATTATATAGATTTCAAGTGTAAAATTCTGATTTGTGTGTTCACCACCCAAAATGAAGTCTCTTTTAATCCCCATGTATTTCGGTTCCCTTTACCCTATACTACCTGGATTTGTTTTTAATGGCAATAGAATATTCTTAAATTTACAACTAGAATACTAAAATGTCCAAAAAAAAAAGAATTTTTATAATAAATATATTTAAAAGCATGATTATAAAAGCATTCTTGAGATGTAAAGACATAAAGCAATTAGAAATGAAGCTCAGCTATTTCATACGCACTTCAATTTCAGTTATAATCTCTTACCTATTGTCAGTTGAAAGACCAGCTGTAGCTATTAGAGAGGAGGAACTAATGAAGACAAAATCATTGGCTGTTTTGTTATGACACTGCCAAGTCTGTAATAGTTATAAACAGCAAATGTTAATGTTATTAAAGTTTCATAACCTGGTAGATGCATTAATCAAAAACTGATCATGTAATTTGTGGCTTAAACTCTGCATTCCCTCCCCTCCAGCCCTGAGCACTGAGCTTTAGAAAAGTTTCAGGGGTAAAACACAGAATCCTCATACACACTTTACCCAGATTCACCAATTTTTAACATTTGCCACATTTACTTTGCCTCTCCTTCTTTCATATACTTACACCCATGCATACATACACACACCTATTCCTGAATCATTTAAATAAGCTGATGTCATGACCTTTCATGAGGCCCTTTATTTTTGTTCAACCAAAAGTTCAAAGGGAAACAAAAGGAGTTTAAACTCTAAATATTTCTTTTAGAATATTTGTAAAAGTTTTTGTTTTAGAAGACAGAAACTAGAATACTAGATCTCAAGCAAAATTGTCTATTTTCAGAAATACTTAAAGCTTTAAATAATTTTTCATATGTATGAATAAAAACATATTACTAATATTAACAAATTTAAAAATTTACAGTGTCTCTCAATATTCCTTCAAATAATATCTTAAAATATTACGAGAGTTTTAATTATACAGACTTCCAAGTTATGTTTGTTCAGATGTTTCTCTTCAATAAAAAAAAAATGACTTTAAAAATATTTTTATTGATTTTGGAGAGGAAGGGAAAGGGAGAGAAATAGAAACATCAATGATGAGAGAAAATCATTGATCAGCTGCCTTCTGCATGCCCCACACTGGGAATAAAGCCCACATTCAGGGCATGTGCACTGACTAGGAATCAAACTGACCTCCTGATTCATAGACTGACACCCAATCACTCAGCTATGCAGACAGGGCTAAAAAATAATTTTTTTAAGTATGTCAAAATCATCAAATGAATATTTTTTTCCTCTGAGTCACTTCCCCATTTCCTCCTGATTACTATTAAAGCTAGGCTAAAAGATATGTCCTTAACAAATCTATTTTATTCCCCCAAAGTAAAAAAATGAACATTTTAATCCAATTTATCTATTTAGAAATTAAGAAATCATACAAAAACAGTTCTTTAAGGAACATAAACTTGTATATTTGAATCTGTTGGCTTAATAAAAATATTAGGAAAAATATAAAGGTATCTCATCAACCCTCCTTTGCTTTCATTTAGATTAGTACTATATTTGAGCATTTAACTTTAGGTAAATTATCAGAATCTTAAGCCATATTCTTAATATTTTCTTAATAGATATTACTTAGTCCTATAAAGGGCTTCACTAAAGAATATGTTACATATACATTCAGTGTTTGTGAAGATGTAGAAAATTCATTAAGCCTGTGTGATCTTGAATTGAAATGTATCAATTTTTTAAAAAGAGATGAGCAAGAAAATAATAGTACCAGCTATATAATACACTTTCTACTTTGTTTGTTCATGAGGAATAATGCACAAAGGCAACCAGTTGCACTGGGCTTTTGATCATTCTTTTTAGATGTAATACCCACTGTAGCTTAGTGAGGCTAGAAAAGCGTTTGAGTAACTCAGTTTGCATTGGTCTCTGGAGGTGCTAGGTTGGTTATAAACAGGTTAATTTTACAAGTTACCAGAGCTTTTAATGCCTTATAGAGTAATTTTCATATAATACAAAGACAGGAGCTTATAGTAAACTGTTGAATACATAGGACTAGACAGATTTTATTTTTTGGCTTTAATATTTCTTGCCTCAAATATATATTCTTGGTGTCTTTAAAAGAAAAATTCATAAAATTTTGAAGTTAGGAATTTTGGCTTACCAGGTATGGCTTAGGCATGCTTCCAGTAACTGGACAACATTTCCAGTTTGTTTGATACAAACTTAAATATCCATCAGCATCAACTATTCCAAACTTAGAGAAAAAAATATTTAAGTGTTTAATACAAGTACAGAAGCATACATTTACCCTTATCCTTACTGTGAATCCCATATTTTGACTCTTAAATATTTGATTAAAAATTGTTTAACTCTTCACTTCACCTATGCTATGCATCCAGAAAAACGTTTAGGTACTGTTTTAAAAATTTCAAGGTTAGAACATTAAAAAAAATAAACATCAGACACCCATTTTATTTTTCTAACCAACAGCATAGTCTATATATTCTTTATAAGTACTCCAAAAACAGGATGCTGGATTTATACATTAAGCTATGTGATAAAGTTTTAGCATGTATAAGATAGAAAAAATGAGAACTGTGAGTTTAAGGTCTATCCAAACTACTTGACAAAGACAAAATGATAACTTCCAGAAATATACAATAAGGAAAACATGTAAATAACAGTAGAAAATACAATGCAAAAAAGATTACCACAGTAAAAGAATTTCACTATGGGAACTCAGGGCAATTTGATTTGGAAGATGTCAAATAATCCAGAAAGAAATTATATAATAAAGATCTTGAAGGATAAGTAAGGCTGCTGGCAATTTTCCCTTTAGATTACAAAAATAATGTATATTTATAAAAAGTATATAAAATAAAACAAATGTCTAATCTCCAGCAAGCATGTCAAACTCCTGGCCTATGGGACGCATGGAACCCACACCATAACGAATATTTTTGCAGCCCAGCCAATATAATGGTATGTGAAAAATGTTTTAATAAAATTTTTGTAACTTAATTTTTACAATATCCTGTTATATGTAATTATTAATAACAAACTATAACATTCACTAATAACTGATTAATATAATCATGTTGCATTAATTTCTTTACACTGCCTTATGCGAAGGTGCACCATTTCTATGCACTGATACAGCAGCAAATATTTTAGCAGCTGATTGCCACGTCATTAGTCTTGTACTGACTTGTTTGATGTGTGCAACAGGAAATATTTCGCTGTCTGAGAAGAAGAAAAGTAGGTTTATTTGCGTTACGCTTATTCACTTGTGCAGTTATTCAGTGTCTGGTAAGTTAGTGTTCAAAAAAATATTAATTTTTGTTAAAATATTCTATTATTTTACGTTAGCAATTGCTTATTTATTTCAGCCCTTTGTATTTAGCATGTCTCTATTGAATCTATGTTTCTATGAAAATTGAAGCTTTTATTTTTTGTAGCCCACATAAACTTAAACCTTGTTTAAAAAAAACAAAACAAAAACAAAAACAAAAAAACAAAAAAAAACAAATGTCTACTTTGGATTATTGCCCTTACCCATTTCCAGGCCTAACAATGAATAACAATTATGGATTCCCTTCGAGATTTATTCTATAAATATTCAAATATTCACACATACATAATGTTTTTTAAGTTAGGATCATAATAAATATACAATTCCACAATTATGTTTTTAACTCATAACCATTTTCCACATTGATATATATGAATCAACCTTATTCTTGTGCTGTGTAGCACTACACTATATAGTTATGAGTTTTTAAATCATTTCCCTATGGACAGTTTCCAATTTTGCCCACATAAAGTGTTACTTTGAACATTCTTGTTCAAATATCTTTGAGTATTTATGTAGCATAGATATTTAGAAACAAGAAAGCTTTGACAAAGGACAATATCTAAAATTTATAAGTAACGACAAAATTAAACCCTAAGAGGTAATACCAACTTACACTCCCAGTTTTCTTACACATTAGTCAATACTACATTACTTCAATTATTAATAAGGGTTATTGGTCATGCATAATTTAATAAATTGATTGCACATATCCTTTATGTACTTCTCTATTAAGTTATCTTCTAAAAATTTGATTGATAGGGCTAATATTAGATATAAATCAACTCTTACTATATTTGTTATATTTTTCTAGGGGCTATCCTTTTTGTTATTTCTCTTAAGTTTTTGGAGTAGATTTAGGTATGTTTTTCAGAAAGGATATATAGAAAGTAAAGTCTCTGCATACTTAAAAATGTGTTTATTTTGCTGTCCAATCTGAATTAGTAGTTTGGATAGACCTTAAACTCACAGTTCTCATTACTTGTCCATCAGAATTCTATGAGTATTGTTCCACTGTCTATTTGTAACCTCTATTTTGAAAGGGGCCAATGCCATTACTTTTGGAGGGAGTGGTGGAGAGGCTCCAAGTGACCATTGTTACCTCTTTTCCTTCCTAGAAGCTCTCTTTATCCTTGAATTAATAGTAAAACAAAAATTTAATAATCAGGACGTGTCTAGGCATGTGTTGTTTCTCAGTATTTCTAGTACTTGGTAGGCCTTTCCTTCCTCCTGGTTCATGATTTTTAGAGAGGAAGGGAGAGGGATAGAAAGATAAAAACATCAAAGAGACATCGATCAGCTGCCTCCTGCACACCCTCTATTGGGGATCGAGCCTGCAACCCAGATATGTACCCTGACTGGGAATCGAACTATGACCACCTGGTTCATGGGTTGACTCTAAATCACTGGGCAACACTGACTGGGCAACAAACTTTCTCTAAAAGACACTACAGTAATTATTTTAGGCTTGCCAGCTATAAAGTCTTTGTTCTCTTGAACTGTTAGAGTGGAAAAGTAATCTTAGAAAATAAATAATGAATGTAGTATCTGTGTTCTAATAAAACTATTTGCAAAACAGGTGGCTGGACTACAGTTTGCCGATATCCTGTTCTAGAGCAGTGCTTCTCAAAACTTCAATGTGTGTACATATCATCAGAGTATGTGGTTAAAATGCAGATAATGACTCAGTAGGTCTGAAGTAGCGTCAATAATTTGCACTCTAAGATGTTCCCAGAAGTTACTTGCTACCTGGTATTTGACCATACTTTGAGTAGGTTCCAGAAAATAAAAATATATAATCAAATGTTGAATAAAAAATGTGTAACAGAAGATGGTCCTAGCATCATTTGATCCTTGAACATCATGTAAGTGAATTTTAATAGACATATATACAATATCTTTCCAAGAAGAACCAAATATAAGCATTCTTGGAGAGGTTTTTTTTTTTTTGTTTGTTTGTTTTTTGTTTTAATTCAAATAGGTTACTGCTTTACTATTAGTCCACTGAGTTATACTCTTCAGAAAACCAAACTAGTAATATTTATAAACCCCAACATAATCAAGCCATTTCCCCATTTGTAATTTTATATACTACCTTATTTCCCTGGTAGTTAAATCTCATTCTTGTAACTCTTGAATTGCCGCCAGATCGAAAGCAGGTTATCTGTTGAGAATGGCCCCATTCAAACATTCTGACACTTCCATCCTGAGCTCCTGTCAGATCTGCATTATAAAAGGGCACAAATTGCAAATTTATTTCAGGAATCTTTGGAAAATTTTATTTTTTAATCCAATGTGAAAATATTTATGGAAGAAACACCTAAGAAATGAAACATAGTCAATTTATATGAATTTATCTTTGTATGAAATTTCACTTGAATACTTCATCTTAAAAACAGATAGTAATAAGATATACTTTTGACTGAGAACATATGCTCATATAAAACAACAGAAGCAATTAAAGCAGAACTCTAAAATTTTATTTCCTTTTGAAATGATCTCGATGTTTTAATACCTTTAATAAGTAGCTTTTATAACCACTTAAATTCTTGGGATTACTAAAGAGCCAATTCTTAAAAGTAACACTATTAATGTTTAAGTTTATACATTTTTGCCCTAGCCAGTTTGCCTCAGTGGATAGAGCATTGGCCTGTAGACTGAGGTTCCAGGTTTGATTCCGGTCAAGGGCATCCAGGCTGTGGGCTTGGCCCACAATAGGGGGCATGTAGGAGGCAGTCTATCAATGATTTTCTCTCATCATCAATGTTTCTATCTCTCGCTCCCACTCCCTTCTTCTCTGAAATCAATAAAAATATATATATATTTTTAAGAAGTTTATACTTTCCTCTGGGGTTGGGGGGGTAGATTGTAGAAGGCCTTGAATGTCATGATAAAAATATTTCTAGTAGTTATTTCAATTACTTGATACCTCAAAATGTTATTTCATTGAGCAATATGAATAAGTTAAATAATTTCTAATTCTTCACTTCATCATTTACTAATTTTGTGGGAATTTTATTTTAATCTCCTCAAGCCTATTTCCTTCCCATAAAAGAAGAACAATGATACATATAGGTGTCAATTTATATTAAGTATAATTATCAGTGTTAATAGAAGTCATGAGAAATTTTATTAATGTAAATAAAGACCATTGCTAGTCATATATTAGTCAATATTCCTTATTTCTTACCAAGTATTTAAAGTAAATAGACTTAAATTGTTTTGAAATGTTTTAACTCTGGGCTGAGGTGGAAGGGTGGGGAGAATTCTTGAGATTGGGCTAAAAGTTATTTTCCCTCTACCCCAATAGTCTTGCTTAAGTTTATTCAGAAAAATAAAATGGGCTACTTGTGTTAAAAATCACTCAAAAAATAAAAGAAAAACTGACCAAATAGTAATAAAATACAAACTGATTATGATGAGCAATAAATGATCACTATATGCTTCTGGTTTGTGTAAGAAAATATGAAAGTAATCCTATGGTTTAAACAATAATTATCAACTACAACTTAACATTGTGTAAAGAGTCCAAAAATATTAAAAAATCAAATGTGCTAACTTTAAAATGTAGTCAAAAACCTAAAAATTTACTATATTAAGTTAGGCTTCCCTATTAATTAAAATTTTTTTCTGTTTTTATTAATTTTGAAATGAAGATCTTATTTGCTAGCAAACATTCTCTACAAAAAAAGTAAAATAAATGTTGACTATCTTTTGACTTAAACTTTAATTCCTTAGAATAATCGCTAATTATTATCAACTTACAGTAAGGAAGAGTAGGGTGAGAAGTCATTCTTCTGACATTATTAATGGCTTTCTTAATCATCTGTTAATAAAGAAAAATTTTTCTTTTAGTTACAGAAACATTAAAAATTTTACTTGTGACATGACGTTCAAATAAAATTTATTTATTTGTTTATTATTTATTTATGATTCCATAATTGTCATGATTAGCAGTAAAAACACTAAATATGGCAAAAAAATTGAGTTTAATAGCTCAGCCCTCTTACATTTCAGTGTACATATATTTTCTGCATCATTGACTAGGTTCTAGGAACAAAGTCACCTTGAGTATTTAGTCTTACCTCCTTTCTTGTCAATTCTTTTCTGATCCCATTAAATTTATTGGAATAATCCTGAATAGTTATAAGGTTAAAAAGATAGGCAGAAGCATGTGAAAAAAAGGTAAACAGAAAATCATATAAATTTTTAATTGATAATTTGGGACTGTTTACTAACCCATTTGTAAATCATGTTTTGAATGATTTACAAAGCCTGTCAAATAAAAGTAAAATATATATGTAAAATTAGAGATAACTTTAATTTATAGAACATTTCCTATTTACACAGCACCATAACTAGTTACATATTACCCTAATTTGCACATCACTATCATGTAGCCTTTTTGTTGTTCTGAATTTTTAATTGTTCATTAGCCTAAAGTAGTGAGGGATATGGGGATCTGATCAGGAGGGAAGAGATTATCCAGAAGAACTGGTGAAGGATAGAAACACTAACAGGTATATATAGATACAGATGATAATTCAATAAAGCAGAAGTTAGTTAAGACAAATGTTCTTTTTCATTAGTATTCATAATTCAATAAAATAGTGGGCGTAAGAAAATATTTTATCAATTCCCCACAAAAAAAATGAAAACCCAATAAATGTTAAACTTTTGTTTAGTAAGCTTTATGTTTAATCTCATGTTCCTCTTAATTAAAGAAATGCCTTAAGATTTCTGTTCTTTATTTACCTTTTTTTCTAACTAAAATATTAAAGGAAAAAGATAAGTATAAAAAATATACACACAGATTTAAGTTTCTAAAAGCATATGTAAAACATTATAAGGGGAAAAAGTCATTAATTATTTTAGAAGATCCATATAAAAAAATGACATTATATAGGTGTCTTTTTCTTGAGGATGGAGTGAAACAATCCGTATTTATGTTTACAAATCACAATGACCCCAACTAAAAATATATCCTGCTTTAGATAGGAAGAAAATTAAGTCCTATAAGGAAATACAATGATAAATTATGTATTATAATGCTATAGAGTACAAAATATTTTCTGAGCACCTAATTTATATTAAATTATATATTTAGTTAGATATTATCTGTGTATAAGGCAGGCATAAAGTAACCTCTCAAAGAGCTTAGAGGGTATAAAAAAGACATCCAAATAACAGATAAGTTCAAAACTGATAAAAGCTACAAGGATGATAAAATGAAATAATATGCCATAGAGCGACTGAGGGTAAAGTAGGAAGGGGCAGATGCCTTCAAGAGGTAAGCTAGGGAAATCTATGGGAATCTGGGTTAAGATCTGAAAGAGCATTTCAAGCAGAATGCAAGGCACAGGCTCTGAAATGGTAATGAGCTTAGTATGTTCCAGTGACAGAAAGAAGGCCACTATAACTGGAGCAAAGATAATCAGGTATGTAATGAATGGTGATGAGGCTTCCAGAGGCCAGCAGGGGTTAAATCACATAGGGCCTTAGAGGCCATGTTAATAAGGACATGTTTTTTGTGGGTTTGTGGTGGTGTGGTTTTTTTTTTTGTGTGTGTGTGTGTGTGTGTGTGTGTCCCCCCCCACCCCCCAAGTTTGCTGGAAAATCTGAAAGTATTAAGCAGGGAAGTGACAATCTGAATGATGCTTTAGAAATCAGCAACTCTGGTTGCTGTGTACTGAATAGAGGGAGCAATGTGGAAGCAAAGGCATCAGCACAGAAAGCTGTTACAGGAAAAACTGTATTGCATATTCTCTGAAACTGGAGTTGGAAAAAAATGCATATTACTTCTTTTCTTATGTTTTGTATATTACCTTTATGGTCTCCTATAAAAGATGATAATATCAGATTTAATAAATGAATTTTAATATATCCGCCAATTGGGAAAAAGTAATTATTAATGGTCAAGCCATTCATTTGAATAGTTACTATAACGCTTTTCAAATTTTTCAACTCAATTTTTTTTATTTATTAAGCTATTACTTATGTGTCCTTATCCTCCTATTGCCCCCACCTGCCCCCCATTCATGCCCTCACTCCCTGGTGTCTGTGTCCATTGCTTAGGCTTATATAATATATATAAGTCCTTTGGTTGATCCCTTCCCCTTACCCCTTCCCTCCCCTATCTTCCTTCTGAGGTTTGAGCATCTGATCAATGCTTCTCTGTCACTGGATCTGTTTTTGTTCATCAGTTTATGTTGTTCATTATAATCCACAAATGAGTGACATTATGTGATATAATTCTCTGACTGACTGACTTACTTCATTTAGCATAATGCTCTCCAGCTCCATTCACGCTGTTGCAAATGGTAGGAGTTCCTTCCTTTTTACAGCGTAGTATTCCATAGTGTAGATGTACCATATTTGTTTTAATCCACTCAACTGCTGATGGGTACTTAGGCTATTTCCAAATCTTAGCTATTATAAATTGTGCTTCTATGAACATAGGAGTGCATATATGCTTTCTGATTGGTGTGTCTACTTTCTTGGGATATATTCCTACAAGTGGGATCACTGAGTCAAATGAGAGTTCCATTTTTAGTTTTTTGAGGAAACCCCATACTATTCTCCACAGTGGCTTCACCAGCAGTGCACAAGGATTCACATAATAAAAGCTTTATATGACAAACCTACAGCCAACATCATACACAATGGGCAAAAACTAAAACCATTTCCTCTAAGAACAGGAACAAGACAGTGATGCCCACTTTCACCCCTCCTGCTCAACATAGTACTGGAAGTGCTAGCCACAGTGATCAGTCAAGAAGAAATAAAAGGCATCCAAATTGGAAAAGAAGAAGTAAAACTGTTATTATTCGCAGATGACATGATACTGTACATAGAAAACCCAAAAGACTCCATAAAAACATTATTAGATTTAATAAATGAAATCGGCAATGTAGCAGGATACAAAATTAATGCCAAGAAATCTATTGCATTTTTAATACACCAGTAGTATACTTACAGAAAGAGAGATTTAAAAAAGAAAAAAGACAGCCAAAACTGGTATGGCTCAGTGGATAGAGCATCAGCATGCGGACTGAAAGATCCCAGGTTCGATTCCTGTCAATGGCATGTACCTTGATTGCAGGTACATCCCCAGTAGGGAGTGTGCAGGAGGCAGCTGATCGATGTTTCTCTCTCATCGATGTTACTAACTCTCTATCTCCATTCCTCTCTGTAAAAAAATCAATGAAATATATATTTTTAAAAAGACAATCCTATTTATCATTGCACCAAAATAATTAAGATACCTAAGAATAAACTTAACTAAAGAGGTAAAAGACCTGTATTCAGAAAATTATAGGACACTGAAAAAAATAGAAGACATAAACAAATGGAAGAGCATACTGTGTTCATGGATTGGTAGAATCAACATCATTAAAATGTCCATACTACCAAAAGCAATCTATAGATTTAATGTACTCCCCATTAAAATATCAATGGCATATTTAACAGACCTAGAACAAACTCTCCAAAAATTCATCTGAAAAAAAAAAAAAAAAAAAAAAAAAAAAAAAAAAAAAAAGACCCAGAATAGCTGCAGCAATCCTGAGGAAAAAAACCAAAGTAGGAGGGATCTTGATACCAGATATCAAACTGTACTACAAAGCCCCTGTTCTCAAAACTGCCTGGTACTGGCACAAGAACAGACATATAGACCAATGGAACAGAATAGAGAACCCAGAAATTGACCCAAATCACTATGCTCAATTAATTATTTGACAAAGAAGGCAAGAGCATACAATGGAGTCAAGACAGTCTCTTTAATAAATAATATTGGGAAAATTGAACAGATACATGCAAAAAAATGAAATGAGAACACCAACTTACACCATATACAAAAATAAACTCAAAATGGATAAAGGACTTAAATGTAAGATGGGAAACCATAAAAATCTTAGAGGAATCCACAGGCAGCAAAATCTCAGACATACCCTGTTTCCCCGAAAATAAGACAGTGTCTTATATTACTTTTTTCTCCCAAAGTTGCGCTAGGTCTTATTTTCAGGGGATGTTTTATCTTTCCATGCGCTAGGTCTTATTTTCGGAGGATGTCTTATTTTTGGGGAAACACGGTAAGTCGAAGCAGTATCTTCACTGATACAAATCCTAGGGCAATGGAAACTAAAGAGAAAATAAACAAATGGAACTACATCAAAATTAAAGCTTCTGCACAGCAAAGAAACCATTAGCAAAACAACAAGAAAGCTGCTACAAGAGAGAGCATATTTGCCAATGTTATCTCTGATAAAGGTTTAATCTCCAGCATTTAAAAGAACTCATACAACTTACTTAACAAAAGGAAGATAAACAACTCAATCAAAAAATGGGCAATGGACCTAAATAGAAAGAGGACATAAGGAAGGCCAAGAGACATATGAAAACATATTCAAGGTCACGAATCATCGAGAGATGCAAATTAAAATGACAATGAACTACCATCTCACACCTGTAAGAATGGCAATCATCAACAAATCAACAAATGACAAGTGCTGTGGAGGATGAGGATGCTAAGAAAAGGGAACCCTTTAACTTAATTTTAAAATGCTCCCCCATGAAATCAATAAGCTAAGGGGAACGGAGGGCTCTAATACAAGATCTACCGCAGATTTGAGATAGTGAGACCTGGTCCATATAGGTCAGTGATTAGAAAGCATTGGTCCATGCACCAAAGGCTTACAGGTTCAATTCCCTGTGAAGGGCACATACTTGGGTTTCAGGTTCAATCACCAGTGCAAGTAGGGGTGGTACAAGAGATATTTCTCTCACATAGCTGTTCCTCTCTTTCTCCCCCCCAACCCACGCTCTAAAATATCCTCAGGTGAGGATTAACAAAACAAACAAAATTTGACACAGTGACCTGAATTAAATCATTTAACGTCTGTGGATATCAAGCTTCATCTGAAGAATGATATGTAGGAGTAATTGTAACAGCTACAACAGACATCTCAAAGAATAAGATGATATGAGCAATAAGGAAACTGCATTAAACATAAAAGATTTTCAGGTATTTTTAAAGATGGTTAAGCCTTTATTTAAATAATTACCCTTTACCAATTAGTGAAAACAATTTATTTATTTATTTATTTATTTTTACCACATTACTTTACAGGACATAGGAAACTGAAAAACTCTGCCAACTGGAAAGCCACTGAGAGAACTGAGGGGTTGGGTTTCTTCAAGTCTGTATATCAATTTCTATGCCCTAACTATCAATAAAGCAATCTCATGGAGGTTTAAACACAAATCACATTTTTGGTAATTGGGGTTCAAGCAGATCTTCCATTACTACAGGAAAATTGTTTCAATTCATCTGCATTTTTTTTTTTTTTTGCTTAAATTTAAAACAATTATAGTTATCATTTATTCAAAAAAGAATATATATTTGTTTCAGCATTAAAAAAAATGTTATACTTAATACGGGCATAGTTGTTAGTCTGTTATGTATCAAAAGATGTTGTCTAAACTAGGTTTAGGAATTTTTTTCTAAAGGACCAGATAATAAATGTTTTGGGTTTTATGGGCAAATGATTTCTGTCTCAGATACTCAATTCTGCCATTACAGCATGAAAGCATTCACAGGCAAAATATGAACAAATGATGATGGCTATATTCCAATAAAATTTTATTTATATATACTGAAATTTGAATTTCATATAATTTTATGTGACATGAAATACCATTTTTCTTTTGATTTTTTTCAACTATTGAAAAATGGAAACACCATTCTCAGTGTACAAAAACAGGTGGTGGGTAGAATAGACCACACCTTGCTGATCTGGACCAATAAGTTCCAAATAATTATTACTTAAAATACAGTTCTTTGCCTGGCTAGTATGGCTCAGTGGTTGAGCATCTATCTATGAACTAGGAGGTCATGGTTCGATTCCAGGTCAAGATAAATGCCTGGGTTGCAGGCTGGATCCTTATTGTGGGTTGTGCAGGGAGCAGCCCATCAATGATTCTTTCTCATCATTAATGTTTCTATCTCTCGCTCCCCCTCCCATTCCTCTCTGAAACCAATAAAAATATATTTTAAAATACAGTTCTTTAGCCCTGGTCGGTGTGGCTCAGTTGGCTGCATGACGTTCCATGCACCAAAAGGTTGTGTCCTGATCCCCAGTAGGTGTCACACAGGGAGTAGTCACTTAATGTTTCAGATTCATATCGATGATTCTTTCTCTCTCTCTCCCCCTTCCCCTTCTCTAAAATAAAAAAAAAGTCTTTGTATTTTAAATTATTTATTTAAAATATATTTTATCTTTTAATATGAAACATATTCTTCATAAACAAAATTTACAATTTGCAGCAAATATGACTTACTAAAATGTTGAGAATTTTTAGATCATATTGGTTAAATGATCTTGTATCTATCAAACTAGAGAAAAAAATAGGATATTTATATACAAATATTTTTAAGTCTACATACCACGGATGCTCCTCTGCCAGTCTGTGTACTACCAAGCCATGGCATGTTGATTGGAGTGCCAGGATTGCTATGTGTATATGGGGTTGTACCTTGCACAGTTGTTAAATCATCATGAGCATGTATAACCAAGAAATCTTCTGACCTACAAAGAAATGTCAACCAGGATGAAAGCAACGCATTTTTTAAATTTTATTATACCTGAAAGCTCTAACAGACAACTTTGTTTCCCTTTAAAATAAACTGTCTTCAACTTTTAACTCCTTACTCATAGGCAATAACTTCATATGTAAATAATTTCAAATCCCTTCACTTAGTCTCTTTTAACCCTCAATTAACTTCTTTTAAGCTCCCAGCACATGGTCTTTACTCTTTAGCAGCTTCCACTTATAATCTAGGAATATTCCTTTAAAAAATCTTTTGAAAGTTATAGTTTCTGTGGAATCACCATTCAAATTGCAATGTTACTGAATAAAAACAAAGTATAAGGGTACCCTTTGGTTTCCATTTCTATATCATCATCCACCCAAGCATAGATCTGTGTAGCCAGGATTCCAGAAACATCCAGTTCTTGAACATCATGGCTTGAAGCAATTGCTATGCAGTTTCTATTTGCCTAAAAAATAAATCATATGGTAATTTTTCAATAATTAAGTATATGAGCTACTTCTGAACATGAAAATTACAAAATAGCCTCAAGAAATGATAACTTTATGATATAGAATATACTGCATTCTCACAAATGACTATTTTAAAAATTAAATTTTGAGTGTAATAATCATCAGCTTGAGTTTTGAGATATGTTTATGTTCTAAGAATTCAAGAGCATCCAAGAGAAAGCCAGCTATAAGTGGTAATGGATGTTTTCTATTTTACTTCTTCCTTTAGCACTATCTTGCCATTTTATAACAATGATATAATCTCCCTAAGATTTGCATAGTTTAGCAACTGGGAGGGAGATGATAAAAAAAAAATAGAAGCCTTGGAAGGTAGAGAAAGATAAGGAACACCAAAGTAAAGAAAGAGTGGTGAATTATCCAAGTAAGATTATACCACTTTTACCTAAAGTCTTTCAATTTTAGGGAATTGTTCAAAAATGGAATTTGGAAAAGGACCATAAAGAAAAAGGTTAGAGAAAGGCTGGGGGAAGTATAGCAAAAAAAAAAAAAAAAAAAATCATAAAGAAAAGTTGATCAGATTAAATGATATAAATTTTAAACAAATATGATTTAAAAATGTATGCCTACAAAGAAGAAAATAGAAAGATACTGATGACAAAATGAAAGGATTAATATTTCCATCATTATGTAAAATGCAAATACAAACCAATTAAAAAAAGCTGAGACCCCAGAGATAAATGGTAAAAGGTTATAACTAGAAGGCTGGGAAACCATTCTTCCTGAGTTTTTCTGCATATCTTGTGAGTAACTGCCCTTTGTTCCACAGAATTATCTCTAGGATCTCTATATAGCCATATCTCTTCTGCCAGATCAAAGGGCAGGTATACTTACTAATATTAGAAAAGATTTGGGGTTTCTTAAACTCAGTGCTCCTCTCCTGTAATGCAAAGCACTTTTTGTGCAGGTATCATCTGGCCCTCACCCTGTTGCTTTGCAATTATAGCTCAGGAGTCAGTATAAAAATAGTGGTACTCTGGCTACTGCTTTTGCTATTAGAAATAAACCGTCATTTGTCTCTGGTCCAGGAGTCATGTCTTCTAACAGAATCCATTAAATTGTGAAAGCTAACTTTTAGCTTAAATGCAGAAGAATATCTCATCTTTCAGTTTTTGACACAGATAATTCACAGCTAAACAAATGGGAAAAGTTCAGTCTCGTCAGCATTTTAATTTTATTTTTTATTAATTTTTAAAGAGAGGAAAATATCAATATGTGGGAGAAATAGAAATTGCCTGCCTTATGTACAAACCTGACTGGGGATTGAACCCGCAAACTGGGTATGTGCCTTGACCAGCAATCCAATCTGTCACTTTTTGTTATATGGGATGAAGCTCCAACTAACTGAGCCATACCAGCCAGGGCTCACTGACATTTTTAAATAATGCAATATATAGCAAAAGGTATTATTTCTAAGTTACTAATTTAACAAATCTGGAGAAATAAATGTTAAACAAGTACACTCTTACCCAGTAAATGGCAGACTTTGTATATATGGATGATTGTTCATTACTAGATACTTATATAAATCTTTCCCTCAAAAGCACAAATGCTACTTGGTTTTATAGCACAGAAGATTTAAAGTCATTATTTTCTTCAGAAGAAGGAAGGTAGTAGTACTTATTGGGTACAGACAATAATCATGAAAACTGCCTGGTTAAGGGCTGCTTCCAAACCTGCCTGTCTTGACAGAACTAGTTATTGTTCAGGGAAAGATATTTATGAGGGAAATGAGACAGGAAGAGGTGAAGACATAATGACAAAAGAACTATCCAGGAGAAATCAGAGAGAGAGACATAGCAAAGGAAGATAGAGAACTTTTTGGTGAAATAATTACTGAATGTATGCCATAGGATATGCATTTGAATAATATTTAAAATTTGTTTTTAAATTAGAAATACATAAAAGAAAGAAATATATATCCTTTAAGTTAATGAAAATAAAAGGAAACAAAAGTATCTAGAAGTCACCATAAACTCTGCAGTAAAGCAATTAGGGAAGTCAGAAGGGAAAAATAATTAAGACAAATTTCAACTTTGAACACTGTACAAACATGACTTTGAGGAGAAAGCGGAGGAATACACAAAGAAAACACACTAGTTGGGCAGCTATTACAGCTGTTAAGTCAAAGAGGGAGAATTTCTATGAGTTATATAAGCTTAAATTTGCTATAATACTAAGATCCACATTCAACATATTCATGTAAGGGCCTTTTATTTGGATTAACCCTTATAATTGTTGTATGAATTCTACAGCTTATCACATATATAAATACTTGATACTTCTCTCTGCATAGTAATAAAATATTATTTTATCTGCTATACATTTATAATAAAAAATTAAATTATTAAACAATGTAATAATTTTATAAAATAAAAAATTTACTGAGATTGCAATTTTAGGAGTGGGAAGTAACTTTGGGGAAAAAAAATACTGATACTGAATAAATGATCAGAACAGGAAACATTCTTCAAATATGAGTAGTTAGTACCTGAAGAAAGAAAAATATCTGTGTACTTACTTTATTAACAGCAAAGGCAGTAATGATATCAGATTCCTTATGAATAATTCTTGCTTTACCTCCAGGATATCCCAAATCTGCTTCTATCTAAATGGAGAAAAAGAAAATATAAAAATACAGTGAGTGTAGTAATAGAAAGAATATATGTCAATATGTCACTTAATATTTACATAATTATTTTCAGAAACTTTTTAGATATTTCAAATACAAAGGTACTATTTTCCACGCTCATTATCTCTAAAACAAAATTTATTTGACAAGGGGAATTTAAATTATTTCAAATTTGCTTTTTCACATATAAGATAGTTGATATAACATACAACTTCATTAATTGCTTATGCTCCCAACCTATAACGAATTCACTTTAAAGGATCAAGACATTTTAATTATTAAAGTAGATTTATTTACCTAATTTCTTAGTATTATAATCCTTTGGTAATAATTTTTTTAAATATATTTTATTGATTTTTACAGAGAGGAAGGGAGAGAGACAGAGAGCTAGAAACATCAATGAGAGAGAAATATCGACCAGCTGCCTCTTGCACACCCCCTACTGGGGATGTGCCCGCAACCAACATACATGCCCCTTACCGGAATCAAACCCAGGACCTTTCAGTCCACAGACCGACGCTCTACCACTGAGCCAAACTGGTTTCGGCATGATAATATTTTAAATATTAAAAAGTCAGATGGTAAATAGTTTTGGTTTTGTGGACCATAGAGTGTCACTTCTGCATATTCTTCTTTTATTTTTTAAAAATATCCTTACTGATTTTTTACTTTTATTTTTTTAGTGAGAGAGGAAGGCAAAGGGAGAGAGAGAGAGTGAAACAATGATTGGCTATCTCTTGCACAATTCTTACAGGGTATCAAGCGGGAAATTCGAAATCTGAGCATCTGCCCTGATTTGGGAATGGAACCAGTAACCCTTCAGTGCATAGGACAACCCTCCAACCAACTGAGCCACACTGATCAGGGTATACATATTCTTTTTTAAATAATCTTTATGACAATATAAAGGTCATTCTTAGAAGATCCAGTTGGATATGGCCTGCTGAATATAGTTTACTGACTGCTGGTCTAAAATAACATTTAATTTATAGAAAAAAAAACATGAAACCCTGAAAGGCACAGTTAATTTGCCCAAGTCAATAATCATTTTAGTAGCTGAGTAAACTGTAATTCAATGTACTTTAAATGACAGACATATATTTGACCTAATACTTACCTCCGAGGTATATACACCATCTTTGAGCTTGGAAGAAAGTACTGTATAAAATCAACAGTTACAGACCTGTTGAGTTGAGTGGATGCAGCTGGGGCTAATTTGTAGTGGGTTGGGTTCTGGGCCCACCTTATCGCAGGGGCCGGAGCTGGTATGAGACCAACCTTGGCCATATAAAGTTTGTCTTCAATGGCTATGGGGGTGCAGCAGCCTGACTTCTAAGTGAGGGCCGGTATCTCCCAGGAGGTCTCAGAGGCAATGCACCCGGTGGACAGCTTCAGATCACATCAAAACATCACCCAACCACCTCCACAGCGACACACTCAAGGTGGACTACATGGGTACAACAGCCTTGCTGAAATAAGTCTTGCTCTGAGGGGAGAGTCCCTGCACAGTTGATCATCCACAGTGTTCAGAGATGGCAGCTAGTCCTTGCAGCAGATTGGCCTAAGGAGTAAATGCCTCCTCCCACTGAGGTGCTAACAGCAATCAATGCTCAATTATAAGAGAAGGGTCTACACAGCCCATAGAAGGAGGGTTTGCACAACTGGAGAGCACAGCTTGGGTGATCAGAGTAGCTGTGCCACTGGATCCTACAGGACACCTACTATAATAGGCCACTCTACCTAATACAAAGAAACAAACACAAGGAGGCGGCCAAAATGTGGAGACAAAGAAACACATCCAACATGAAAGAACAGAACAAAACTCCAGGAAAAGAATAACCAAAATGGAGATAAGCAATCTGCCAGATGCAGAGTTCAAAACACTATTTATAAGGATGTTCAAGGAACTTAGTAAGGACCTCAACAAAATAAAAAAGGACTAGCTGGAAATGAAGGATTCACTAACGAAAATCAAGAATAATTTATAGGAAATCAACAGTAGATAGGTAAGTCCAAGAATAAAATGAGCGATTTTGTAATATAAGAAAGTAAAAATCACTATCAGAACAGCACAAAGAAAAAAGAATTAAAAAAAAATGAGGATAGTGGGACAACATCAGGCAAACCAACATTTGCATCAAGGGGGTGCCAGAAGGACAAGAAAACAAAAAATCGAAAACTAACTTGGGTAAGGAAATAGACATGTAAGATCAGTAAGTGAGGAGAATCCCAAGCAAAATGAACCCAAAGAGGCCCACACCAAAGTCACATTACAATTAAAATGCAAAAAGTTAAAAACAGAATCTTAAAAGCAGCAAGAGAAAAGCAGTTAGTTACCTACAAGGGAGTTCCTATATGACTATCAGCTGATTTCTCAACAGAAACCTTGCAGGCCAGAATGGAGTGGCAACAAATATTCAAAGTAATGAAAAGCAGAGATCTACAACCAAGATTACTTTACCCAGCAAAGCTATTACTTAGAATGGAAGAGCTTCGCAGACAAAGGAAATCTGAATTTCATCATCAAATCAGTATTATATGAAATGTTAAAGAGTCTCAAGAAGAAAAAAAAAAAAAGATTAAAAAATGAGCAATAAAATGGCAATAAATACATATCTATCTATCTGACAGTTGCCAGATGGGAGAAGGTTTAGGAGGTTGAGTGGAAAAGGTGGAGGGATTAATAAGCACAAATTCGTTGTTATGGAATAGTCATGGGGATCTATAAAGTACAGCATAGGGAATATAGTCAATAATATTGTAATAAATATGATACTAGATGGGTAGAGACTAGATTTATCAGGATGATCACTTAGTAAGCTATATAATGTCTAATCATGCAGATATGCACCTGAAACAGTTTCAATTATATAATACTGTATGGCAACTGTTAATTGAAAATTTTAAATGATTTAAATTGAAAATAAAAAAAGTAATTTAATAAAATAAAATCAACATATTCTAAAATATTTATATAAATATATCTTAATACCTCTGGGTAAAAAGGAGGGAATTATTTAAGAGTTGGGAATGTTGCATAATGTAGGATAATTTTATTTTATTTTATTTTAACCTCTCTAACCTTCAATCTTTAAAATGAATTACTATAAAATGTTACGCAACTTACTGTGAAGCACAAAAGTTATTAATTTGAAATTATAATGCAAAAAATTTACTTCCTGCAAAATTTAGATAAAACATCTCCAATACCCAACCATTGTTTGTCCATAGAACAGAGTAGTTAGCAGTATTTTTTTAAATGGCTACTGAGATGACTATATATTTCCAAAGTTGAAAGTAACCAAATCAAAATAGCCCTATGCAAACAACTCATGTCACTGAATGTAAAGATGTGAAATATATTCTAATCTAAAATGCAATTTGATTACAAACATAAAAAAAAATTGTGTTTGCTAAACATTTTGGTTTCTTTGAAGGCTAACTTCTTTTCTAAGAAAACACCGTAGCTTTGCTATAAGGAGCCCAGCAACCAATAAGAATGTCAATAATTAGGGTCTGTTGTTTTTTTTTTTTTTTTGGTTGTTTTTTAATCCCAGCATAAACACCACTAGTAAGTGTCTGCTACTGGGTTCTGAAGAAATTAAAAGTGGAGAAAATTATATTTCCATTAAATAGAGGGATATATTATTTGCTAATAATGGTTAGGTAGTTGGGATGGATATAATAGTTTCACCTTCAGAGCTTCTTCAAATTTTACAGATATGGGAATGAAAGATCTTGCAGGCATGAAATTCTAAAAAGTTTCTTCAATGTAGGAATATACTCTTGTCCTCTTATTATCTAGATTTACTAAGACATTGTTTCTTAATAGCCTGGACACAAGATGACCTGAATGAGAGTCAACTGGTGGGGGGCGGGAGAGTAGTGTAAGAATGATGTTTAGCATCTCAAGAGCTTATACATATTTAATTTTGAGAATACTTATAAATGTCAGGATGAGACTGGAGAAGTAGGCAGGGTTCAGTTTGGACAGGGCCTCAGAATTCATAATAAGAGATTTAGATTTTATTTTAAGACTAGAAAGCCATAGTTCTGGGTGTTGTGAGACAAAACCTAAGTTGTGTGAAGGTTCCCAGGAAACCACTTATGAGCCTGCTGTGGCAACTAAATAAGAAGTAATGGTGGACTAATGGACACAAATAGCAGGAGGGTGAGGGCATGTGCTGGGAGGTGGGAGTGGCCAGGGAGAGGTCAATGGGGGGAAAAGGAGACTTATCTAATACTTTAAACAATAAAGAATTTATTTATTTATTTGTTTTTTTTTAAAAAGAGGTAATGGTGGATCTGATTAGGCAATAGTAATGGTGTTACAATAAATGGTTGGAGTTGGGATAAATGTTAATATATTGAGAGTGCAGTATGAGTGAAAATGATGAAGCAAGGATGACTCCTTGGTTCAGACTGGATAACAGGGTTAGTGAAGAAACAAAGTGACAAAGTGAAGAAAAGAGTAGGTTTGGGTTGGGATTACGGGCAGACATAAAATTCTGTTTTGACATTCGGGGAGAGATAGCTATTAGATTATGTATGCTAGTTTGGAGTTTAGAAAATAAACAGGGCTACTGAGATTTAAGACATCAAAACTATGGATGATATTTAAGCCATTAGATAACCCAAAGAGAAAATAAAGATAGGGAACAGAGAGGGTTAAAAAATAAGTTCTGGGGTGCCCAACACTTCAAGGATGGGGGAAAAATAGGACAATTCAGGTATGGGAAGTAGCAGATGAATAAGAAGTGACTTTACCATAGATTTTACTGTATATTAAAGGATAATAAAGTATTATTAATAACTTTATACCAATATATTTGACAACTGATGTGACAAATTTCTTAAAATACATATACTACCAAAGTACACTAAAAAATATAATAATCTGAACTACTCTATATCTGTTAAAGAAATTGAATTTGAAACTAAAAAACTCCAGGTCCAGAAGATTTCTCTGGTGAATT